AAACAAACAAAAAACAAAAAAAAAATGACAGAGTACTGAGAATTTCTTTTTTCTTTTTTTTTTTCCATGAGGATCCAGTTTCTTATGCTCAGCTGCTATACCTACCTCTAACTTCAAGCAAATCTACATCCCTCGCCACCAGACCTCATTGTTCCTTGCCAGCTGAACAGTCTTAGCCCATTCCTACACTTTCCGTTGCAACTTCCTCTCAAAATAGAGCACTCTCCTCATTTAATCTCCTTTTAGTCACTCCTCATAAAGAAAGAGAAGTAATGACAGTTCTCTAATACATTATTGACAGTATGAAAGCCACGACTCGCCGAAGCAGAATGCTCGTAGACACGGGCAGATGAATTTATCTCCTACCTACTTCTACTTCATCTTCTTCTGTGTTATTCATAGAATCGTCTAAACAGGACGGGAGAGAAACAAAACAGCTGTAAAGATGTAAAGTCTCTTATCCCGACTTCTCTTGGCGACTCCACGGCTTGCGCTGGCAGGAAGGGTAGTCCAGGGGAGGGGTGGGTAAAAAGACTGGAGGGCCTCGAACCCTGGCTGGGTTGGCTCAGTGGATAGCGCGTAGTCCTATGGCCTGAAAGGTCTCAGGTTTGATTCCAGTCAATGGTACATCCCAGAGTTGCAGGCTTAATCCCCAATAGGGAGCATGCAGGAGGCAGCCAATCAGTGATTCTCTCTCATCATTGATGTTCCTATTTCCCTCTCTCCCTCTCCCTTCCACTCTGAAATCAATAATAATTTTTTAAAAAAAGAATGAAGAATCAGGAATGCTAAATTAAGGGAGCCAAATGTATTTCAGGTGCCAGGGACACGCGGAAAGCACTTGTCTTTCCTTGAGAACCATCTGCGTTACCCTACAGCACTTACCTAGGTTTGGGACTGTGGTATTTTTAACTCCCGGAAGATTCTTCCAGGGATGGATGAGGTTTGAAAACTAGTGAAAAGACACACATGTCAGCCAATCTTAGCAAGCACCGGCTTCCAGAAGCCCCGCGCGACACCTCACAGGAGCGGGAAGGGTTGCAGGGAAGACCACCCAGGACGGTTGGTTTCCTTTGCGATGTGAGGTGCAGATTCCTTTCCGGAGCAGTTCTGTAGGGGTTCCCCTAAAACTGGGGGAGCCTCTCTGCGGCCCCTCCACTCTCCATGGGACAGGCCCTTAGGGGGATCCCACGCGGCCAAAGGATGACGACAGGAAAGCGCTTTGGTATAATAGATGCGGATGGGAGGAAGCTAGCCTGAGCGATTTAGGACCCAAGTGGGAGAGGAGAAAATTGGGGTTCGGGTCGGGACTACCACCTGCTTTCCCTCCCGGGCCTGCCAGGACTGTCTTCATTTTTGCCCTTTTCAATCCAAAGGTCTCGTGTCTCTCTCTGGGTCTCCTTTTTCGGGGTCTTCTTCCCCCAAGTCCTTGCCACTCCACATCTCCCCTCCACCACTGGACACTCCACTGCTCCCCCGATTCCCGCTGCCCCCCCTCTCCACCCCCCACCCCCACCCCCGAGGGGAGTGCAGCCCCGGCCCCGCCCCGCTGCCCTCCTCGGGGTCAGTGGCGGTTACGTGGCTGTTCAGGTGCTCGCTCTCTGCTGCCCCCTGTTCGCCTGCCCACAGCGACGACGACGCCATGGCTGCGATCGCCGCTCCGACCCCAGCACGTGCGTCGGGCGCTGGGCAGGTCGGAGCCCGCCCAGCGGCCAATGGGCTTCCTGCGGGGCCGGCCCACGTGCCGCGACCCCCGCCGCCCGCGCAGGCGCCTGGACTCCCGGGAGCCGCGGGGGGCGATGTCCCGGGGGGGAGGAGGGTTGTTGGGGGGCCCGGGGGAGGCGGGGCCTCGGGAGGATAGTCTCAGCCCGGCTGCTGATTGGCCAGCCGCGCACCGCGGGGCGGGGCGGGGCGCTGTCCCGGCGTGGGAGGGGGCGGGGGTGTCACTCGCTGGATGCTGACCTCGGTTAAGGTCACAGCAGCTTGGGATGCGGAGCGGCGACAATCTTGGTGCGGATGGGAGTCCCACCTCCCTCACCCCACCACTCACGCCCCAGGTAATGTCCTGGGTGGTCAGGCTGGGCCCCCGCCCCCCTTCAAGCTCCCAAACCCACGTTCCTCCCCATCCACCCCCCTCAGATGTCCGCTTCTACGTGACAAGAAGTCGGAAAGGCTGCGAACTGCCAGGAAAATGGATGGTCCAAAACCGCAATTTTCATCTGACAACTGAAATCCAGCGTTGGGGGATGCAGAGGGGGAAGGGAAGCCCTTCAGGTCCTAACTTCCACCCCTGTTCCTAAATGCCCGCGATGCGTCCACAGACCGGCTTGGTTTCATTGTAATTCTAATCCCGGTGGGAGCCCTTGCTCAAGCGATCCTGAGAAAACTGTCCCTGGTGGTACAGCCACCGCCTCCTCCCTGCACTGCATGATTTGGGGTAGAATCCGTCTACTACTGACTGCTGGACTTTGAGAAAATAACCAGTCCTCCTCCCCCACTTCACCCCCCCCCCCCCTTTTTTTTTCTAACTGGAATCTTGAAATTTGGATCAGTCTCTGAAAAAAACCTACAAAAATCTAGTTATACTCTCTCCGTGGTGCTGAAGACAGATTCCCCACTGTAAGTCCTGTTTAGCTCTTACATTGGGTTCTAGTAGTAAACGTTTTTGTTTTTTTAGTTTGTTTTTCTCCCAGTGGTAACTTTCTGCGAATTTAAATAGGTATATAATTGAGCCAGAGCCAGGATCTTTTAGTTTTGGGGTTGTTTTTTTGTTTTGTTTGGTTTGGTTTGTATAAGGGTGGCAGACCTTGGAATGGTTGTCTATTATTTTAGCGCACTACAATTTACCTGTGTGTTCTTGTACTAAGCCAGGCCTTAGGTGGAAAACGGTGGTCAGACTGGGAAACACTCGGCTGATTTCCACGTCAAGCTTGCACCCCAGCTCTTAGAACAACAGTTCCCACAAAGCTGGACTACAACTCCCATGAGCCCCCGAGCGCGCCCGGAAAACGCAACTTGACAGCTTCCTGTTCCGCGAAAAGCCGCTCGGCCCGAGATGGGAATGTAAACGTGGGGTTTGGAGGGTGGGTGTTTTCTGGGTTCTACAGAAGAGGAACGGATGAATGGACCAATAGTTGGACGTTTCTCTCTTCTCCGCTCTCTTTTCATTCCTCGATCTTTTCAGGAAAGTGCCGGTTGACGGGAGTGGGACGTGTGTGTGTGTTCAGTGCTTCTTGGAGCTCCTCGCGGAAACTCAACAGGAGGAGCGGTTACTTTAATTGGATTCTTACAGGGTCCTTGGACTGTGGAGTGAAGCCTCTGCTTTCTCGGTGAGAGTTGTTTGCTCATAAAACAAAATGCTGGTACTGGTTAGGGCTCCCGGTGGGTTGTGGGTGGAAGGCATGGCGACACTTCAGGTCTTTTAGGGGATTGCTCTCTGATATTAGCGATTATAGGTTCGTGTTTTCTGATCCTGTGGATATTACTCCCTCCTCCCCTCGTTGGTTTAGTTAAATTTATCATGGGAATGCCCTTCATACTACTCCACTAGTTACTAATATTTTCGAGATTAAAATCTTTTTAACTTTAAAAGCGTTAAAACTAATGGCTGCTTTAGTGCTCACCGGCAATGCGTGGCCGAATGCACGACTATCTGTGTGGTAATTTGGCAGTCCCCTTCCAGGTGTTAGAGGAGGATATGATGTCCTGGAGAAGGTTCTGTACAGATCAGGAGACTGGGCTCTACTCCTCCTCTTACCACAAATATTATTACGCGCCTAAACCCTTTGGACTGGTTCTTTGGTTAAATAAGGGGTTGAACTAGATAATCACTTCGAAAACTTTGATTTGAAATATTGGGCTTTGAGATATATAAAGGTAAATCATTTGAACATTTTGCTGATTTGCATATAAAACTCATGTGGCTTTTAACTCTTAAAAATATATAAATTTAAATAAAAACTATCTTTAATCTCACTACCCAGTGTTAGGTTATTTAATTAATTTGCATTTCCTATTAGCTTCCCATGATTTCTAATGACTGCTGTTCTACTTAACCTCACCGTTGTGGCTTGCAGTTTTTACTTATTTGCAGTATGTATCTTTGAGTCACTGATTATTTTGCTGATAAATGCCTAGCAGTGGAACTGAGTGAATGAATAGTGTAGCTTAAACATTATGGAGAAAATGTATTTTAGCAGATAGGCCAACGTTATTCATTTTTGTCACATAGCTGTTTTCCTTTGAATGAACAAACTATTTCTGCTATCGCTACTCTTGTTAAAATGGACAGCCTTCAGTTTGTAGATGTTCGTCATTGGAACAAGGAGATCCAATTTAAGTGAGCAGAATTAGTGTTTTAGTTTGTACCCAAATAGGTCAGATGCATTTTTTTTTCTTTGTCTGCATCTAGTTTGAAGTTCTGTTGCAGTGGGGACAGTCTTCAAGTGACAGGCATATTTCTAAGACAACCTCAGTGGCAAATTATAAACATTTGGGCAAAACATCTCGATAATTTGAAACAAAACTTGGGCTAGAATCCTGTCTTAGTGTGGTTGTTGAGCACCTATTAAGAAAGCATTTAACAGTTATCTAGATTTACTAATGGAGGACAGCTGTGCTGTTCCCTTTTTTCTTTAGGTTTGTGTGTGAAGGACAGGTTTTGTTCCTTCCCTCTGGCTCATTGTTTAAGCCACATGTGTCAAACACAAGGCCCGCGGGCCAAATCCGTCCCACCAGGCCTTGCAATGTGGCCCGCACCTCGCTGTCATCACTGCACTCCGCTGCGTTTCCATCACAATGACAGTTTATGACTGTTCAGTAAACCATTCGGCCCGCGATTTAGGCTGGATTTTAGATTTTGGCCCCTTCTCTGATTGAGTTCGACACCCCTAGTAAGCGATGAGAATATGATGGGAAGGATAATTGGAACCAGACTCATAACTCAGGTTTGAGATCATCTTCCTTTGGGAAATATTTAAGTAAAAATAAGGGCAAGTCCACAGATTTCCAAAATTCTTTAATGGATAAGCTTAACGCCCAGCAACTATTAAAAAAAGCAACTCACGCTGATCAAAGGTAAAAAAAACAGTATAGAGCAAAAACAGTGTTAGCCGACTTTGCTGACTAATCTGACAGTAGAGAGAACAGGTCTGTGTTCTTCGTCTGGTGTGATTTCTTTTGCATTGCTGGATTTGAGAGTGGTGATTTGGCAATTAAGGGGCATCTGATACCAGTGTGATATATACCTAGGAAAAACCAATGATGGGTGAAGTCCTTACTCTATAATCTACCATGGTCTTTCAAGTTAGTTGTTTCTATTTAAATAAAAGATATAAAATGCCATGTTATCCCAAACAACCCTGTGGGACAGGTTAAAAAAATAACAAAATACTTAAGTAGGGGAAAGAGGGAAGGGAAGCTTCCTGGGCATGACACCATTTGCAAGGTCACAGCGAATACCCCAACAAAGAGCAGATCTTTTCTTCTCAGTTGGCACCAGGTAATTGTTTGGAACATAGATGTGCTGAGGCTTGGACTGCGGTTCTGCTCGACAAAGCATCTGCTCTCGGACACCCCAGCGTAACTCCTTCCTGTGATCTTCGCCAGGTAATCGCATGGAGTCCCAGTCTCGTTTGTACTCAAAATAGCGGGCCACCCGGTCTATCTTGCCCCGGTTTCGGCTTAACTGGTCCAGCCTTGGTAGAATGAAGGACTTTGGTCGGCTGGCAACAATCAGGTCTTGTTCATAAGCTGGGGGGCCCATTCCTTCTCTTTGTAGATAGCTATTGAGCTGATCTTGGTATTCATGTGGGAGATGAAGTTTTTCTGAAATATCAACAGGGGACTCCCCGCCTTTTGGGAACTGAAGGTTAATCAGCCTTTGTCTTAAATCCCAGAGATCCATATCAATTTCTGTACCAGACTCTGACTCACTGATAATGGACTCATCTGTCACTAATACTTCCCCGTCGGGCTTCCTACGCAGCACCTTTCTCTTCATCACTGGCCTTCGGGGTCTTTGGGAGGCCTCCGAGGCTGTTTCTGAGGTGACGTCACTTTTTGCATGTGGGTACTGCAGTTGCTCAGGAAGAGCAGGTCGCTTTCCTGGGGTTACTGAAGCTTTGCTGTAAGGATCATATTGGGTTAGGAAAGCTTTGCTGTAGGGATCGTACTGGGTAGGCCAGGCTTCTCTCCTCACATCTCCCTCACCCTGCCCTGCACAGATCTGGGTGAAAGCTGTAGCAGCCGCTAACATTTGTTCTTCTGGATCCATACTGGCCCAATTTCGTCCACTAGGTCCCATGAGTTCCTCCATTGCTTCCCTCACATTGAAGGGTCTTCTGCAATAGAAAACACTAATCAGTTTTCTAATAATAAATTTATATCTCACAAATTGTTCACTCCTTTCTTGTCAGTGAAATGAAAAATAGCCAAGGCAATCCTATATAATAAAGAGGTAATATGCAAATTTATCACCACTCTGACACACAAGATGGCCACCACAAGATGGCCAACAGGTGAGGGCAGTTGTGGGCAATCAGGCCAGCAGGGGAGGGCAGTTGGGGGCAGTCAGGCTGGCAGAGAAGCAGTTATGCGCTGATCAGGCTGGCAAGATTAGGGGATAATCAGGTTGGCAGGCAGAAGAGGTTAGGACAATCAGGCAGGCAAGTGGTTGGTAGCCAGCAGTCCTTGATTATGAAAGGGATCCCCAACTGCCCATCGGACATCCTTCAAGGAGTCCCAGATTGGAGAGGGTGCAGGCTGGGCTGAGGGACACCCCCCACCCTACCCCATGCACGAATTTTGTGCACTGGGCTGCTAGTCATGACTATAATAGTTAAATAAATTACAGATTAGTACAAGATAGTATGGGAACAGTTTGCAGGGGCATTAACTCAGTTCTGGAGACTTCTGCTTTCTTTTATTTTTTTAGACATTCAAATACTGTTCTGTTTTGTTGTTTTCTTAAAATATATTTTTGTTGATTTCAGAGAGGAAGGAGGGAGAGAGAGGGAGAGGGAAAGAGAGGAAAACATTAATGATGAGAGATGTCTGGTCGACTGCCTCCTGCAGGCCCCCTACTGGGGATCAAGCCCACAACCCCAGTTTGTGCCCTGATTGGGAATCAAACCCTGACCTCCTTGTACATAGGATGATGCTCAACCACTGAGCCACACCAGCTGGGCTGGAGAATCCTGCTTTCATTTCCACTCTCTTCTTATTCACTCCTACTTTCTACTGCCTGCTAATTCTTGCCACCTTTAGTAGCTCACAGGACAGGATAGGTGAGTTTTGGCATAAGAAAAGCTTGATATTGCATGATATAGGGCATAAGGCTTCATGGCCATTGTTAAGTTGTACTGAGAAGGACACTTCATGTATCCATTGTTCTGTGTGTTTTATTTCATTCATGCAATCCTCATAACTAGGATAGGTACTCTGATTATCTTTTCACAGATGAATAACATGAGTCAGAGAGATTAAATAACTTAGCCCAAGACTACACAGCTAGTACAATACATTGCATAGAATTCCAATGTATGGATGTACTGTAATTTTTCAGCTAGTCCATGATTGATTTATTGTAGGCTTACAGTCTTTTGTTGTTAGAAAATGAATGTTACAATGTGATCTTATAAATTTTTACATATTTGTGCAAGCATAAATGCCCTTTCCCATTCTTAAAACTTTTAAGTTATTTCATGTTTTCTTCTAGCACTTTTATAGTTAAATGTTTGAAATGTAAACTTTTAATCTGTCATAGATATAGAAACTCAAAGGGCAAAAAACAAAACCAGCTAACTAGATTTACCTAACATAGTCAGCCTTAGAACAGACGAGTAGATGATCTTCTATTACCTAACATAACCATCAGTCATAGGTTATCTAGTACCATTTTCAAGGATGTAGTACAGTTGTCCTCAGATGATCTTTTTTTTTCCAGAACATGCATTAAATTTGACTTTAAAAAGGATCACAGTGCTTAATTACCTTCTTTCTGCCATCAAAATTGTTTAAAGTGATAAAATCTTGACTCCAGGTTCTGCTTCCAATATAAAGTACAATCATTGACAAATTTCTTCAATCAGGCTAGCTTCTACTGTACTACCTTGAAGACAGAACTTAGTATTAGATGATAGGACATGTAAGGTATTAGTTTTATTTAATACTGGAAAGCAATAGACACAGTAGACATATATTCCATATCAAAAGATCTCTCTTTTTAAAAACTTTTTTAAAGAGAGGAGGGCAAGAGAAACATTGATCAGTTGCCTTCCACATGTGCCATGACCAGGGATTGAACCCACAACTTAGATATGTGCCCTGACCAGGAATCAAGCCCGCCACATTTCTGGTTTACAGAATGATACTCCAATCAAATGAGCCACCCCAGCCAGAGCCATATCAACAGATTTTGATGGGAAAGGTTTAATACATATAATGAGAAGTCAAAAGGAAATGTTTTAGGGGGAAAATATCAGTAACATCAGTCCCTAATCATCTCAGCTAATGAATACAGATATGAAATATACAGTCATTTCCTCTAAATTCTGACTATTGAAACCTTAACAATGCTAGCCAAACGTTTTTTATATTACTTTCCTTTTCTCCTTTAAATTGGCTACACAGATGAAAAAGAATCATGTCTGTGGATGGTCAACCCTAATATCTAAGGCAATGCTTGTATCCCTGGGCAGAGCAAAAGTCTGCTTAAGGCATCAAATTAACTCTTAGACACTATTTGAACATCGTTGAAAGCTACTGACATGGATCAACACTAAACCTGTATCCCTTTTCCTCTCTTTCCAGTAGTTCGGACCCTTATGATTCATTCATTCCTGGAGTTCTTACCATGGCTGAAAATGACGTAGATAGAATCCAGACTGACAAACTCCTGAAAAGAATACAAGAACTAGAGCAAGAGATAGAAAGACTTAAAAAAGAACAGGCCAACCCCAAGGACTCAAATGCTAAAGAAAATGCTTCAAGAGCTAGAAAAGCTAAGCGTGCGTTTGACTTCAGTGCTCACGGTCAAAGACATGTAGCCCTAAAGATAGCCTATCTGGGCTGGGGGTACCAGGGCTTTGCCAGTCAGGAAAACACAAACAATACAATTGAGGAGAAACTGTTCGAGGCTCTAGCCAAGACTCGACTAATAGAAAGTAGACAGACATCCAACTATCACCGATGTGGACGAACAGACAAAGGAGTTAGTGCCTTTGGACAGGTAAGGACCACTAAACTGTTTCTCAAAGCAAGCAATACCAATATATTCTAGGTGTACATACTGAGGATTCTTATTTGTATCTCTAACACGTTATCTTTCTCTGATTCCACAGGTGATTTCTCTTGACCTTCGTTCTCACTTCCCAAAGGAAAGGGATTCAGAGGATTTTAATTTAAAAGATGAAGTCAACGATGATGCTAAAGAGATCCGTTATACTCACATTCTCAATCGGGTGCTCCCTCCAGACATCCGGGTATTGGCCTGGGCCCCTGTAGAGCCCAGCTTCAGTGCTAGGTTCAGTTGTCTTGAGCGGACTTACCGGTACTTTTTCCCTCGTGCTGATTTAGACATTGTAACCATGGACTGTGCAGCTCAGAAGTATGTCGGCACACATGATTTTAGGAACTTATGTAAAATGGATGTAGCCAATGGAGTGATTAATTTTCAGAGGACTATTCTGTCTGCTCAAGTGCAGCTAGTGGGCCAGAGTCTGGCTGAGGACAGATGGCAAGAACCTTTCCAGTTATGTCAGTTTGAAGTGACTGGCCAGGCGTTCCTTTATCATCAAGTCCGCTGTATGATGGCTATCCTTTTTCTGATTGGCCAAGGAATGGAGAAGCCAGAGATTATCGATGAGCTGCTAAACATAGAGAAAAATCCCCAGAAACCTCAATACAGGTAAATTTAAGTATTAATGTATATTTACAAAACAACCATTGCTTTTAGATTATTTTGAAATATATTCTAGTATATCTTTCTATCCTCACAATTGTCTGAATAACTAAGTCACTGAGTCTGTCTTCATGAAGCTTTTAGTATAACTTGTAGAATGTTATGAACATGTAAGAGGAAGTGGTATCTTTGATTTTTCTTCTGTTACTCCTATCCCAGGAATAAGAAATAGGTGTTTGGACCAGGCCTCTTAAATAAAAGCATATTCATTTCTACAGCTCCCCACCCCCATTGAATTTATGTTAAGAGGTATTGTTAGGTTCTGCTAATATAAGGATGCAAACTATTCATATTAATTCTTGCTTGCTTTGTGTTATGGAGTAATCATACTACTATGGAATTTTTCCTAATTTTCAGTTTCTGAAATGGTAGGAAACGAAGGAAAAATAAGAAAAACAGCTGACTTTACTTTTGAGACCAGGCTGAGGTCAGACAGACCAATAATTGATTCCTAAGCAATGAACTCTATGCAAAATTGACAAGTTTGGAAAAATACCACCAGCTGTTTTAAATTCTATACCCATATGATGGGGCCCAGTGAAGTCACCTGTAGGTGACTTGTTACCATTGAAATTTACCCCAGTAGCCCCACGGTTTGTCTTTTTTTTTTAGTTATAATGTGGAAAATTAGGGATAGTGTTGTATTTTCTTAACTATTAGATACTTAATATTGATAACGTTTTCCCTCTCCTTTAACCCGACTAACCTTGTTTTTCAAGAACTGTTGGATGGCTGCTATGTATTCTCATGCTGTTTTGTCTCCTCTCTAGTATGGCTGTAGAATTTCCTCTGGTCTTGTATGACTGCAAGTTTGAAAATATCAAGTGGCTCTATGACCAGGAGGTTCAGGAATTCAATATAACCTACCTACAACAGCAGTGGGCTAATCAAGCTGTTAAGACTCACATGTTATATAGTATGCTGCAAGGACTCGAGTCTATTGCTGTGCCCTGTGAGACAGGTATGACAGGGAAATCCACGGGTAAAGTTACCACCAAAATTACACACGGTTGTGTAGATTTATATAAAGTTTGGAGGTGATTCTACTGTGGTAAAGTATTCATGTAGTGATTGATTGTACTTATTATAGGAACAAAGACGGATGAAGTGATAGAATGGAGAAATGTGAAGCCCTCTGTCATAAAGCAGACCAGCGCCTTTGTAGAAGGAGTGAAAATGCGCACATATAAGCCCCTCATGGATCGTCCTAAATGCCAAGGATTGGAATCCCGGATCCAGCACTGCGTACGTAGGGGACGCATTGAATACCCACGTTTATTCAATGAGAGAGAAACAAAAGCCAAAAGAGAGTGTAATGACAAGCTAGAGGAAGAAAATACTATTTTAGAGAAACCAACAAAGAGAGTCTGTGTTGATACAGAAATTAAAAGCATCCTTTAACCACGGAAAACTCTCCAGGATCTAGGAAGCAATAACTAGCTAATGGTAGGTGGGTAAAAGTGAATACAAGATTTACTGCAGTAAGTCCTAGAATTCAGATGATCAGCTCTTAAAAGAACAAAACCAAAAAGACCATACGCTCTATTTAAGGATGTTCAAGCTTCAACAGGAAACCAAACATTCATTCCTGTCTAAAAGGATTAAGAGATGGAAGAAGCGAAAAGCAGATGTAAAATGGAGATGTATTTATAAACACCTGGAAACCTGTGCCTCATGTTCAAATTTATTAAACCTGATCCTGCAAGTGTCTAGTTTGTTCTATCCTTTTTAAAAGCAAATGAAATATTCACTACCCAGATGAATTAGCATAAAGAGCATGTCTTATTTTCTAGGACAAATTTTAAAAAATTTGTCACGTATTTGATAAATTGGTGCAGGGTGCACTGCCAGCCACAATACTACCAGACAGTGACCTAACCGAATGGGCACAGCATCTCTTACAAAGATTATCAGTTTAGTGCTGTGTGAGCCATAAATGGTCTTTGTTTTATGTATTTTTTCCCCAATATTTTACACATATAAAAAAATTGTTAGCCCACAGGCCGTAAAGAAACAGGCCAGGTGAATTAAGGAAAGCTTTTACAAAGATATACCAGCTGAATCTTATGGAACAAATGGGAGCAGAGCTAAAGATGACATTTGCATAGTTTAGAAAGGTAAGCAAGGGTCCTATCCATAGAGCCTTGTAGGCCTTCCTAAAAATGCTTACATTTTTATCTTGAACCATTCAGGTGGGAGGTGGGGAGGGAGGAGATTAAAAAGCCAGAATTGTGTAGCACAAATATTGTGTATACACTGTGGACTGGAAGAAGAAAAGACAGTAGGACCAATTAGGAGGCTGTTGGAGTAATCAAGGAAATCAATGGCCCAGATTAGATTTGCAGTGAGGGGAACAGAAAGAAGTACATGAATTGGAGATTAAGAAAGGAAAAGCAAAAGGACTTTGGGTGAATGACTGAGGATCACAAGTAGGGAGGCCGTCAGAACTCCCAGCCTTCAGGTTTAAAGCACATCTAAGACACAGTGGACATGAAAATGAGGCAGGGCTTTGCTTGTTCTCTAAGTTGATAATTCACCCTCAAAATATTACTTATAAACACCAATATTTATTCAAAAGTGCCCCACCCCCTTCTACTCTCTCTAAAAATCAATGGAAAAAATATTCTCAGGTAAGGATTAACAACAAAAATGAGTTCAGCTGGACTGGTGTGGCTCTGGTTGAACATCAATTTATGAACCAAGATGTCATGGGTTGATTCCCAGTCAGGGCACATGCGTGGGTTGTGAACTTGATCCCCAAGAAGCAGCCGATTGATGATGTTTCTCTTTCACTGATGTTTCTATCCCTCTCTCTTCCTCCTTGCTCAGTGGTTAGACCATCAGCCCACAAACCAGAGTCATGGGCATCTACCTGGGTTGTGGGTTTGTTCCTGGTCCCCCCCCCCCCATTCAATGTCTCTTTCACATTGGTGTTTCTCTCTCTCCCTCTCTCTATCTCTCTCTTTCTCTCGCTCTTCCTTCCTTCCTCCCTCTCTCTGAAAAGCAATGGGGGAAAAAATATCCTCAGAGAATTAACAAAAAAGATATATATCAAGTAAATGAACTCAGACCTTCTGCCCCAGTATAACAATTTTCATCACTGCAGGGTGTATTACTTTTTTTTCCCCATCTAAAATTGTCCTCTCGCCTTTAAGAGCCAGCCCTATACTCAGGGCAGCCCTCCTAAAGTGAGAGGGAGGATGCTGTATGTCCTGCCAGACTCCCCTGTTACAACTGAGCACAGGCGAAAGCATAGGCCAGGACAAGAATTACAGACAGTATTAACCAAAATACCCCAAAGTACCTTCTCTTCAAAAATCTTAAGCGATTTGGTGTCCCAGGTTTAGCTAATTTCAAGAGAGAATTTCCCGGTGGAAGGGGTAGTTGGGTCAGTATTCTATTACAGGAAGGCTACTGCAGAGTTAAATCAGATTCCTCTACCTTTGGGAGGTAAGCAGGCAGCTCTATGTACCACAAAATCGAACAAAACAAAAAATACCTTTAAAAAAAAACAAAAAAACTCTGTAATTGAAAAGAGACAACAAACTAGGGGAAATATTTGTACCAGGTTAAAAATTGCTAATTTAAATTCCTCTAGAAAGCTAATAAAAGGTACATACACCAGCAAAATAAGACATGATTTACCAAAACAAAAAAAAATAAATTAAAAAAATAATAATCATATACATAGAAAAAGATGTTTATATATATAAAAGTCAAACAACTGGAATGACCAGTGGCTATAACATCCACTGCAGCGGCCAACTGGCCCCCACACTAGCCCAGTCCCCCCCATGGACCCCTCCCCCCCAGATCGGGGGCAGGGCCAGCAGCCAATCTACCACAGCCCCCCCCACACACACACACACACCAGCCAGCCCAGCTGGAGGGGCTGTGCACAAATTTGAGCACCAGGCCTCTGGTCTCATTAATAATGCAAATAAAAGTATTAAGACATCCTAGAAAATTTTTCAATATTTAGTGTTGGTCAGTGTATAAAGCAAAAAGCAATCTCACCCTCTGTCTGTGTGTGGATGGGGTGGAGAGGGGTACATCAGTTTTTCTAGAGGGCACATTTGACATTATCAATCAGAATTTAAATTGCACCACAATTTCTAGCCATTCATCCACTTCCAGGAATTATTCTAAGACCATAAACTGGACAAGAATGCAAACAAGTATATGTACGAATAATCATGCTATCCTACGATGAAGAAAAAATTGGGGGGGGGGGGAATGTCCATCATTACAGGATTGGTTATTTAATTTACGGTTAAATAATGCATGCAAGCGTTACCATGGGATAATGCATGTCTACATGTGATGGACATGTGTTCCTAAAACATTACTAAGGCGCAATGTTTGCTTTTTAAATGAATGCGCTTTACTATATTCAAAGTATACAGTTACATAAAAATACTTGTGAAAGTATAGCCATGTAAATACATATTCATAATGAATACATCTGCAATAAACCCAAAGGTGAGGGTTTTAGGTTTGTTTGTTTTTTTGGCTGATGGAATGTCGAGTATTTTTTTTCTATTCTTCTTACTACGTACCTAATTATTGCTTGATTTACTTATAAAAACAATGAGATTGCTTAATTTTAATAATCAGTTGCTTGATTTACTTATAAAAACAATGAGATTGCTTAATTTGTATAATCAGGAGCGGAGGGAAGGTTTATTTTCATTCTAGGGCAGGGCTGTAGGGTTGAATGTCACCCTCTATCCTAACACATCTGGGGAAGAGCTGCTCGCACGGTTACACCTATTAGTTCAAAAAAGGGGGACCAGGGGGTGAGAAGCCTTTTACACTCAAATTTACACAAAGACCGAGTCGCCACCCCCTCGCCCCCGCTGGGTGTCCTCTGTTTGTGACGCTTCCGGGGAGCCCGGCCCCCTCGCTGCTCCCGCCCCCTGACCCCCGGCCCGTCCACCTCGCTAAACCCCGGCCACCGCGACAGCCACCGTGACAGCCACCGCGACAGCCACCGCAACATCCACTGCGACAGCCACCGTGACAGCCACCGCAACATCCACCGCAACATCGGGGGCTCCGGCTGCCAAGGGTCCATGGCGTCGCCGCAACGAGCCTCTGAGAACGCTGCGACCTCGGGCGGTAGGTACGTCCGGGCTCCAGACTGCGCGCCAGGGCATCGCTACCCGGGCCGGGAAGTCAACTCCGCGTACTCAGCCCCGATCTCTCCCCCAGTAGCCGGGCAGCCCGCTGGGCCCTACTCCACCGCCCCCATCGTCCCGTCCCGTCCCGCTTACCGGCCCCGCCGAGGTCCGCTCGCCACCCGGGTCCTCAGCTCTGCGGGGATCGGTTGGCGTCCCGCGGCCTGCGCAGGCGCACTGCCGGCTCACGCACGGAGAACGCCCCAACCGCCGGACGCCGAGGTTTAAATCGCTAGAACCAACCGGCGCCCTCTGCCCCGCCTTCCAGCGCTCCCATTGGTCCGAGGGTAAACGCCTTTCACGTCTACCTTCTGATTGGTGTACGGTTTCTCTTGTCCCGCCCCTCAGGCCGGAAGTAGTTTGGGATTCAGCCCGTTGATTGGACGCGGCCGAGTCCCGCCGCGGCTGAGCGCGAGCGCTGAACCGTCGCTTCGTCGCCAGGACGACGGGACGCGGAGGGAGGGGAGGACTCCCAAGCCTCCTTCGACGGTGATCTCAGCGCCCCGTCCATCTCCCTGAACCAGACTCGGCGGGGTCGGTGGCGGCAGGTGTGTTCTCGACGCGGAGTCGTGACCCCGATCCCGCCTCCGCGCTCAGCCCGTCCACCGGTCTGCCTTGTGGGCTCTGCGTGAAGGCTCGGACGCGCATAGAGGCCTTTCCGAAGCTCTCTTACCTCTTATTCTCTCTTTGTCTCAGGGCACATCCTATGTATGTGAATAACTTTTATAACATTATTTTAAGTAGCAGCAAAGTGTTCCAATATGGAAGGATCATAGTTGTTTTTTAGCCTCACCAGAAGATACTTTTTTTCCCATTGCTTTTTAGGGAAAATAGAAGAGAAGGAGGGGGAGGGGGAAAGAGAGAGAGAGAGAGAAACTTTGATGTGAGAGAGACTCAATCACTGGTTGCCTCCTGCACACATCCAGACCCGGAGTGAGGAGCGAACCCACAACCCAGATACTTGTCCTTGACCGGGAATCGAACCCGCGCCCCTGCAGGGTATATGCCAACGCTCTAACCACTGAGAATACCACTCCGGGCAGGAGTATGTTTAATTAGCTTCCTGTTACTAGACATTTGGTAATTTTTAAAATTATTTTTCTATTATAAACATGCTAAGTTAATTTCTATTAGTTAATTCTCTGGAACAACTCACCATTACTTTTCTAGTATACATTCCCTGAGGTATGATTTCTGGTATAATGAGTTTGCTCCTTTTAGGGATTTTGATATTTGTTGCCAAATCGCTTTCAAGAATGATTGTATGAAACTTACCCTCAGTGTGTGACAATGTCCAAGTTCCTCCTCTATAGCATCAAATCAAATGCCACGTCATGTCGATTATGCTTCTTCGAAGTAATAGACCTGATCGGTTTTTTTGTTTGTTTGTTTGTTTGTTGCAATTTGCACTATCCCATAGTACATCTCCTGTAAATTTTGCTTTTACTCTCTGCTTTTCTAACTCATACACTAACGCCCGACTTTGAAAACTCACAGGTATTCTCGAATTATCTTTTACATCTCATTAAAAATAAAAAGATATCAGTCATTTAGAATGTCTTCTACTTACATCTCACAGTCACAGATACACTTCTTGTTCCTTAACTGTCTTCTATCCCTTCGGTACCCTTATCCCCTAAGTTTTTCCTTTCTACTGCTCCCAGAGTTAATAAAAGTGCAGATTTCTGTGTCAACAAGCACCTTTGGCAATGATACACCACAGAAAGGAAAGTTTAACATGGATACTCAATTGAAATGAAATTTTAATATTTTCTTTAAGCCGAAACTGGTTTGGCTCAGTGGATAGAGCGTCGGCCTGCGGACTGAAAGGTCCCGGGTTCGATTCCGGTCAAGGGCATGTATTGTACATTGGTTGCGGACACATCCTCAGTGTGGGAGGTGTGCAGGAGGCAGCTGGTCAATGTTTCTCTCTCATCGATGTTTCTAGCTCTCTATCCCTTTCCCTTCCTCTCTGTAAAAAATCAATAAAATATATTTAAAAATATGTATTTTCTTTAAAATGTTAATAACTGACATTTATCTTCAAACCACATATGTGCATAAATACACCTATTACTGTGCCTTTACCCTATTAAACATGGAAATAAGGGAAAACAATTTTATTTGAGAATAAGAGATTTCATTATACCAAACTTGAATAATCACTATTTTTTTTTTTTTTAACTATCTGGTGTTCATTTTTGGTACTTTGTAATCCTACACGTTCCAAAATTAAAAGGTTGCAAATATTTTCCCTCCCCTTATTAATAAAGCAAGTCCATATTCCAGATGCATCACTCAAATGGTCTCTCCAGACAATTTGATTCTGCATATTTCTTTAGATTAAAATGTTGGTGATGTTTCATTTATTTCTTGATGTTTCCAATATTTCTTTTCCTTCTTCACTCTAACTTAAATTACAGATATTGAAAATACATCCCTGGCTGGTGTGGCTTGATTGGTTGGTTCAATTCCCAGTTTGGGTATATGCCTCAGTTGTGGGCTCCATTCCCGGTTGGGAGCATGCAGGAGGTAACCAATCTATGTTTTGCTCTCACATCGATGTTTCTCTCCTTATCCTTTCCCCACTCTCTCTCTTTTAAAATCAATAAAAAATATTTTTTAAATTTACCTTTTTTAAAAAAACAACCCATTTCAGTAATTTTACTAAACTCATTGAAGATCTTAGACCAGTGGTCAGCAAACTCATTAATCAACAGAGCAGCAGACCATGACTTGGGAGCCATAGTTTGCTGACCACTGTCTTAGAAAAGTTGATAATGTCAACAATTATTACCTTTAACATTTTCTCCTATGACAAATCAATGACAAGCCATATTTCCAGTATTAAGCAGAAATATGTAATAAACTCAAAGCCCATTTGATAATTTTTGTTATAGTCATTTTTCACCCCATCTCACCTTCCCATTCCAAGAAAATAGCAAACAGAAAGTTAAGAGGGCTTCTATTTCCAGATGTTTGGGAGCATTATGAGCAATAAAATGAGGAAAGATATGTTATTCTTGGGACAGTATTTCTCCATTTCACTAGCATACAATTCTGGGGGCATCTAAAGAGAAACTGAGACATCCATGGCTTTAAAATTTTATATATATATATATATATATATATATATATATATATATATATATATATATGTGTGTGTGTGTGTGTGTGTGTGTGTGTGTGTGTGTGTGTATATATATATATATATATATATCCCCCCCCAGAGAGAAAGAGAGGTATAGAGAGAAATATCGATGAGAGAGAATCATTGATCGGTGAACTCCTGCACACTGCCTACTGAGATTGAGCCTAAACCTAGGCAGGTGCCCTGACCGGGAATTGAACCGTGACCTCCTAGCTCATAGGTCAACACTCAACCACTGAGCACACTGGCCAGGCTCCATTACTTTTTATCGCTCCTGTAGAACACTTGCAATGTGTCCTTACTGATATGCTTGAAGACTCTGGGGTTCTCACAGTGCAAGATCACAAACATTTCAATTATAGCCTGCAGCGTTGCCCCCAAGCAAGAATGTTATCCTGTCCTTAAAAGCCTTGAAACCTGGCATTGACTTGGCCTCCATACGGATGCGAGTCCTTTCAGGCAATTCGTTTTTAGAACAGGGAGGTTTCATCCATATCAAATATTTTCTCTGGCAGCCAAAACCGGTTGGGCTCAGTGGATAGAGCATTGGCCTATGGACTGAAAGGTCCCAGGTTCGATTCCATTCAAGGGCATGTATCTTGGTTGCGGGCACATCCAGATGTGCAGGAAGCAGCTGATCAATGTTTCTCTCTCATCGATGTTTCTAACTATCACTCTCTCTCCCTCTCTGTAAAAAAATCAATAAAATATATATATTAAAAAAAAAAAAAAAAAAAAAAAAAAGCCGAAACCGGTTTTGCTCAATGGATAGAGCGTCGGCTTGGGAACTGAAAGGTCCTGGGTTCGATTCCAGTCAAGGGCATGTACCTTGGTTGCGGGCATATCCCCAGTAGGGGGTGTGCAAGAGGCAGCTGATCGATGATGTTTCTCTCTCTCTCCCTTCCTCACTGTACAAAATCAATAAAATATATTTAAAAATATTTATATATATATATATATATATATATATATTATATATATATTTATATATATAAATATAAATATATATGTGTGTGTGTGTGTGTGTGTGTATCCCCCCTCTGGCAAGTAATTTCCTTCTGTAATCAAAACCCAGAGTTTCCAAAATTTCTTCAGCTGCCTTTACATCGCAACCGCAGACTCATCACTCACTCACATTATATGATGAATAATGATTCTTGGATCATTTTTGCCACCAAGAGCTGGTAGCAAATTCAGCCTTTTCATTCAACATCACAATGTTTCTCTCTCATCGATGTTTCTTGGGAGCCACAGTTTGGCTCTGATCACTCACGGTGCTGAGAGGGATGTGCTTCTGGGTCCGATCTCCAAACAGGTCCTTACCAGTTTCTCCATATCTGATGTAGGCCCGGTTTTGAATCTCAATTGGCCTCTATGAGCTAGGGTAGGATGTGCTTGTTTGTAATAAAGGTCTTTTCACCGAACCCAGTTTGGCTCAGTGGTAGAGCGTCGGACTGCGGACTGAAACGTCCCAGATTTGATTCCGGTCAAGGGCATGTACATTGGTTGCGGGCACATCCACCGTGGAGGGTGTGCAAGAGGCAGCTGGTCAATGTTTCTCTCTCATCGACGTTTCTAGCTCTCTATCTCTCTTCCTTCCTCTCTGTAAAAAATCAATGAAATATATTTTTTTTTAAAAATAGGTCTTTTCCTTTGGCTGCTAGGTAAGCAGAGGGGACACTGTCATCAACCCCACCCTTTCTGTACCTTGCTTTCAGTGGGGAAGAGGCATGTTATTGATTAGATGGAAAAGTCAAGAAACTACAGGCAGGAAGACAACACAGAGGTTGCAATAATCCCACCAGGTCAGGCCTTCTGGAAAGCAAAGGGGTAAGGTGACAGGGTGGAGTGGGGATTGGCAGTGGGGTGGTAGAAGTGACTCAGCATGCAGGCTTGGTCTAGAGTCTTTTCTAATAATTCTGAACCAGCCCCTTTATGCCTTCTAGAAAACTACTTGGAACTAGGAGTTGGACAGCTAGAGTCACTCAGATTTCCAGAAAATCCCGAAGACAAGAGACCTTTACGTTGTGGTGACGTTTTCATGCAGTCTTGTTTCTTATACACAAAGTAAA